ACTTGTGAGCAGAAGCCAGACCTCGAGATGCTAAGGATGAAATGTTGCCAAGTGGAAGCACAATGCTAGGACTAATTTTTAAACAAGTTTGTCAAACGACAGGAAGAAAGATGATACTAAGAAAGTGTTTTAATTTTTTTCAGTTATTTTTATATGTATGAGTGTTTTGCTTACATGTTAAGTGCACCTGTGTATCCAATATGTGCAGAGGTCAGAAGGTCTCAGATTCCAAAGAGGGCCTCAGATCCTCTGCAACTGGAGTTAAGGAAGGTTGTTAACTATGATGTGAGTACTGGGAACTGAACCCAGGTCCTTTGCAAGAGCAGCCATTGCTCTTGGAGCCACCTCTCTAGCTCTAGGAATGTGTTTTAAAATGAAGAGTCTTCAGCAGTTTGGCACAGTGGATGGGGTGCAAAAATGAAAACTGAAACCATAACACAAAGAATGATGGACAGGCTACTAAGGCAGGCAGAAGGAAGATGCTGGGAAATGGTTAAGGAGAATTTACTTTGGGAAAGAGGGCATCTAGTTCTTTGCTATCAGAAGGAGGTGGAGTAGAGAGAAAAATCCAGCAAAACCAGGTATCATCAGGTGAGGAGAGGGGAATTTACGGGAGCTCTACAGAGGCTGCCGTTATCTTTTGAACAGAACAAGAGATAAAGTCAGCTGGAGCACAGAACATGCAGGACATGTTGGCACAGACCTGTAACCCTAGTAACTTGGGAGATGGGGCAGCAGGGTCAGAAGTTCAAGGTCATCCTCAGCTACAGAGCTGAGTTCCAGGCCAGACTGAGTGTCATGAAACCTTTTCTTAAAAAATCAAAAATGACAAAAAAAAAAGTATGAACCAAGAGAAATGTGACTCACTTAAACGATAGGGCTGTAACATGTAGTCAATCATAGATTAACAGAATTTCCAAAGCGGTGACCAGATCTTTTCTGAGATCGGAAAGCCTAACTTGTAGTGGACATGTTCAGTTAAATCTGTATATGACTTTCAATACTAGGACTCCGTAACCTACAGACCCTCAATTTGGGGATTAGCATGGGGACAAAGAGCAAAAGAAGCCATTGAATTAAAAGGAACTTGTATTTGTTTGCTGTGTTGCTGAGGCTGAAAGTCAGGCCCTCATGCATATTAGGAACGTGCTCTACCACTGACCCATATTCTGAAGCCAAGATGATTTTTTAGGCCTGAAAAGAGCATTCATGTTGTAGCAACAATATAAGGCTATGCCATAAACCTTCAAAACAATACCTATACAGGTTTGATATCATTTATCAAAACACTTGGGACCAAAAGTATTTTAGACCTGGAAGATTTTAGATTTTAGAATACCTGTGCAGATTTTTTTGCAGGTTGAATAGCCATAACATGAGAGGCTCCAGAATCTGAAAATATCTGATTATCATGCTGGCTCTTAGAACAGCTAACATCTTTGAGTTGGGTGCTCAACCTGCAGTGCAGATCCTATGGTTCCACTGACATTCCAATTTGTGGGCATAATAGATTTTATTATTATACTGTGTATAGCATTATTTTTATGTATTATTTTAATGTGTATGAGTGTATTGCCTTCATGTCTGTAAGTGCACCCATTCTGTGCAATGCCCGAGGAGGTCAGAAGGGTGTTGGATTTCCGTGGTGCTGGATTTAAGGACAGTTATTAGCTGCCACGTGGGTGTTGGGAATTGAACCCAGGTCCTCTGCAAGAGTGCCAGTGCTCTTAATCTCTGAGCCATCTCTCCAGCCCCTGCATATAGCATTATATAATGAAAAGAGAATTTAAAATGAAAAGAGATAGGCAGGCATAGTGGCTTATATCTGTAATCTCAGCACTTGGGAGGCTGAGGATGGAGGATGGCTGCAAGTTCCAGGCCAGCCTGGTATACACAATGAGTTCCACACCAGCCTGATCTACCATGTGAGACCCTGCCTAAAAACAGTAAAGAGAGATGGCTAAGCAGTTAAATGCACTGGCTGCTCTTGCAGAGGACCCTGGTTCAGTTCCTACCACCCACATTGTGGCTACCAACTGTTTGAAACTCCAGTTACAGGAGATCTGACACCCTCTTCTGGCCTCTGTGGGCACTGCACAGCATGGGTGCACTTACATACATGTAGGCAGAACACTCATACACATAAAATAAATTTTTTTTTAATTTAAATAAAAATTAAAGAGATAAATAAATAGAGGAGAAAGGTGCCAAGTTCATTGAATTTAACAGTAAAAAGGATGACCCTAAGCTTCAAATGCATTTTTAAAAGTATTCTATTTATTATTTATATTTTTATGTGTATGAGTATATTGCCTGCCCATGAAAAGCAGCCACTGTGACTGAGGATGTGACCATTGCTCTTCAACTTTACTACCTACAAAGTGGGAGAGCCAGCCGAGCCCCCCAAAGACCACACACATCTGCATTCATCACTCCCATGACAGTGTTTACATACCTGAAACAGTTGTCCACTTCAAAATGCCAGTGTGGTGACAGCTCTTTGTCAAGCATACAAAAACGTTTTCATTTTGTGCAACACAATCCACAATCAAGGCTCTTGTTTAGGACTCGTACGTGAAGAAATCCTACAGTGACTAAGCATTCTGGCAGCGTTCTTTATATGTGTTCTACTACCAGCTGCTCCCTTTCGAACTTGCACTAAGTGTTGTACAGCCAATTGCTTAAAATGTTTATATAAAACATATAAGAAAGAACGTAGCAGTCACTGTTCAGATGAGCATTTCGTCAATGCATTCAATGCCAAATCCTATCCTATAGCTTGATATATGAAAAAAAAACTTGCCAATTTCTCAATTACAAAAATAATGCATACCCACTTTAGGTATTTTGAAAGCGAAGAGAAGAATATGAAGTATGTGTAATTCTGTTCCAGATAGCCCAAGAACTGAAAATTTCACTTATTTGCTTAGGGTCTCTTCTCCAGAATAACTTTATTGTTTCATATAGTCCAAACCATAGGACAACTTGTCACATCACTCCAATTTGAATGCTTTCTCCTGTTCATCAAGGACAGCATGAAGTGGTCCTGGCTGTGCATGGCTACTCAAAAAGCCAAGTCTCTAAGGTGAAAGGGACTGTGACATTGCTTTAAATCTGATTTTTGGCAGTTCTCATATATTAGCTACAAGCATCTCAATCGATTCCTATGTGACCCTTGGGAACTGTACAAACCAAGTCTATCCACTGCTCCATAGACAAGCACTTCAACATTCAAAAACAGCTAGCTCTGGTGTGCCCCCTTTAGTGTTCTTCAGACAAAAGGCCAACATTGATTTCACCAACGCTGATTGCTTCATTAGCCTAGCTCTCTTTGAACTCTCCTTACTTTATCAATGTACCTCTTAAAACGTAGCACCTGGATTTGAAGGCATCCCTACAAACAGGACTACTGTCGCATTTTGTCTAGCTTTTGTATTATACTTCTGTTAATTCACAATAGAAGCATATTAATTTTTTAACAAGTCAAATCCAATTACTCATTTAAAAAGCTTGGACTCCTGTTCAGATAGATCTCCTTTATCTTTTAACAGCACAATAGATTTTTTACTAAGTGGATGCTATCTATATACTTCAATGTTATATTACTAGTTGCAAGCCAATATTCTAGTCAATTAAGATACTTTCAAACCCCGACTCTATCATCTAACACACTGGTTAATCTCCTGCTTCTCACATACTGGCCATGCATTGCATTATGGACACCGAGGAAGCGCCCTGCACAGCAAGGTGCTAGTGGTCACCCTTCCTAGCTGTCGTTAAGCTTTTATTACACAGTCTATATCCAGCCTGAATACACTGCCATCATCCAGTCCCTATGTCTTTCCCAGTGACGGCCTTGTCATGCCTTGATTCCATAAAAATAATATCAACCATATTCCCACTGGCGTCTTTCTTTTCCATATATGTAAATCATCAATAGTTAAGTGATCAATTTCTAAAGATTGACATCCAGCTCATTGTTGTTAATTTCCATAATTTCCCTTCCCACTCTGGAAAACTAAAACATTAACTGTGTCCAGTCTAGAAATCTGAATTGATTCACATAAGTAAAATGTCCAACATCAGGCCCTCAAAGCCTGACCCCATGTCCCTAGCCCTATGAACACAAAGGGTCTACAAGATGCTGTCGTAGCTAGAGCAAGTGAGCTCCCACAGCTATAGCAACAGGGATATTAAAGAGCATTTTCAGAATTCAGACATAATCATGAACATAATGAAAGAAGAAACTTAAAAGATACAAACTAATCTAGATTTTGAAGAAAACAAAAGCTAGATTTCCTCTACAGTCTCATAGTCTCCTACTCATAAGCTAATGACAGGCTGTTCTTCCATGGACCCTAGACCTATTTCCTATTAGTCTACAGAAATGCACCGGCCCCTTCAGGCTGATGTGCACCACGATAAACCATTCTATCTACCATAAGTTCTTCTGTGATAGCAACAGTAGCTGTTGATTTTCTCTTGTCCTTCTGGGATATCTAAAAAAGTAGCAGTAAGCCATTACATAGCCATCTTAGTTTTACCCTGCTACCTAGTGCTTGGTAACAGGACACCTAGAAAGTTCTAGAATGGTGGACTTTAACCAAGCATCCATACTAGTGTCTTCCTCTGCGATACTTTACAAGATACATGTGTCTAGACCCCAGGCCTAGACACTCTGATGCAGCAAATGTGGGGTATCTGTACTGCTTATTAAGCTCCACAAGTGCTTCTCAGCTGTACTTCCGGTTACGAATCACTGTTCTATACCAACTCTCCCCGCTACTGTGAGGGATAAAACTGATTTTTAAAATTCATTCTATTGACTACATAAATAGGTGTTAGTGTTAAATGAGCTTTGCAGAAGCAAAAAATTAAGAGTTGAGAACCAAATATATTCCCCCATGTTAATCTGATCCACAGTCACTCTTGCAAGGTAGAAGAGAACGAGTTTAGTTTTAACAGTCAGGGTCATCTTTATAGTCTTACGTTCTACTTACCGTTTCCAAACTTCTTAAATAAAGGCGATAATTTGTGATGTAAACTCTTCCCTTAATGGGGCCACTGAAAGGACATATGTAAATAACTTCTTTGTCTAGTAAGATAAAAAAAAGGTACCCTAAAATAATGGAAATATATACCAAGATACACAACAAATGGTACCAACTTAATATAAGTATTTGGCTAACTTTAATAAAAGTGACTAAAAAGGGAAAAAGCAACATTGGCAATGTTTTCACATCACTGTGCTAGGCTGAATCGGGGCTGTGGGGAACTACTGAGTCCATGTCGCCTCTAGGCACTAGTGGTGTTTCTCTGAGCTTGCTCCCAATGCTATCACCACCTGGGACAAGGTGTCAAGAGCCGGAGAACTGAAGTGAATGAGGGTTCTACTGTTGCTACCATCTGACAATTATAAAAGTTAACTATTTGAACTTCATCAAAGGAGAATGGCATTTCACACCAGGACAGCCTCAGGTCTATCCAGTAGTTTGGGCACTGAAGTTTCTCACTCTCCAACCTCACAAATATGTTTTCTGCTTCTTGCTTCTCTTTCTCTCTGCCTCTCTGCCTCTCTGCCTCTCTCCCTCCCTCCCTCCCTCCCTCCCTCCCTGTGGTCATGAGTGTGCACTGACTGGCAAGTGAAGGCGACTCTGGAAAGTTCCTGAGCAATGGGTTGTGACAGAAACTTGCAGCATGTCCAACCTGTGGTAGTGGGCTGCCTGTGGCTGAAGACAGTTATATGACTCTTCCCTCTCTCCCTCCCTCTCTCCCTCCTTCCTTCCCTCCCTCCCTCCCTCCCTTTCTCTCTCCCTCCCCACCCCTGGCTTCAACTCATGACCCTTCTGCCTCAGCCTCAGTGCTGAGATGGCAGGAGTCTATCACTGTGGCCCACTATCATGGTAGTTTTAATAAATAAATCGCAGCAGTGGAAATCTTTCTATATACTAGTCCCTTTTATTACTCTAGAGAAGAGTTTAGCAAGAAAACATTTAAGTGATAATAAAAATAGATGGACAAGAGAACAGTACATCTTTGGCAGACTCAACATAAGGAAAAACTAAATCAGGAGTTAATATAATGAAAATATCCAGTAAGGGCACTTCATGCCAGTTCAGTCAGTTACTACCTTGGTTATAGTCTGGTCAGTGATATCTACTGCCAAAATGTCATATATGAAGATCATCAAAAGTAAAATCTCTTTGCTCTTATCCAGAAATTAGGATGGACATATCTTACTGGTTTCAGTTTCAAGACTAGAATTATGTGTGTTCATCTGTGGATACCAAATAGCTTCCCATGGTTCTCAAGGTACTTGGCTATAAAATTCACAAAGGTATTTTTCTAAAACTTCCATCCAATTAGCACCAGAATTTAGCCATTTAAGCTAAAATCCTGACTCTTACTCAATGAATTGAAAGGGTCCCAGAAACAATAGTAAACTATCAGCCCCAAATACACTGACATGGTGGGAAGGTATCAACCCTAACACAAATCTGAATACCCATACATTAGCACTTGGTTCAGAAGCTATCAGATGCTTCTTCATTCATAGGCAGAATGATGATCTGGTCCTTCCAAAATAGATAGCTTCCTCTTAAGATCAATTCATTATGAAAGAAACAAAAGGCCATATCCAATTGTTATCTCCATCTTATATCCATTTTCTGGCAAATGAGAACCATTTTAAACCAACATGGTCTCCTATTATGTCAAAGAGAAGAATCTTTAATTGTTTAAGTTTATAATTTTGAAGTGTACATCACGACTGGAAGCCTTAATCTAATTCTGCTCTTGTAAACTCAAACCATGAACGTGTATACCTCTAGTTAGAGGCTTTGAAAAGATAATCTATGTTTTCCCTCTAAATCATTCTCTTTGATACAGAAACAAGAATATCACTAGCCTTGAAAGAACTCTTCAGTCAGGAAAGGAATACTGAACTCCCTGTCTTAACACTTCTGAACAAAACTATCTGTCTGTCTAACTTGTATAGAGCCAGCTGATCCTGCAGTATTGTTTCTTTAGTTTTTGACCCTAAGCCTCTAAAGGTCCTTACCAGTAATTAGTATTTCTCCTGGGAGTCGAGGAACACTCTCACTGAGACCCTGATTGATTCCATCTTGAGACATCTGCAAAGGAAAGGGGCATCAGAGGTGAAGGCATTATCTTTACACAGAAGGCAACAACTACATAATACATTTACTTTTTCAAGGAAAGAAATAGAAATTTAGCATTTGAGAAAAATAAAATAGAAAATTCAAACTGAAAAAAAGAGAATCTGGCCCGAGACTGTAGTTCAGTGGTAGGGGACTTGTCATACTACACGTGAGGCCCTGGACTCAATCCCTAGCAACAAAAATTTAGGAAAAAACAGACTGATGTGGCAGCAACATGTATTAGATGTATTAACTCCTAGTCTTCATTTAAATAATGTTATCAAAGTTTTAAATAATTCTAAGCATTTTAAAGCTTACACCTTTCAGGAAATGATTAAACAAAAATGGAGCGAGTATGCTCTATAAATATACATATATAGTTTTTCCCATATACAGCATTCAGTCGTCTTTCACGGAGAATAGGAAATGAAACTTCACCGCACAATGCAATAGTAATTGGCCAGGATCTCCTTACAGTGCAAGAGAATAAGTGTTATGATCTATTAAACTTCTTGTTTTATTAAGATCTTCCTTTACTTTTTACTTCTTTACCTCTGTTTGGAGCCTTATTGTAGATAAGGAAGGGAGTGTTCAGTCAGATAACTGGGCAGGGCCCTAGGAACCATTTAACAAATTCCCTACTGACTTTGCTATTTCTGTAGGTCTCCTGTTTGAGGTATTCTCAGGCATGTGCCTCATGTAATCACATCAGCAGCTCTGACAGGCAGGGAAAGCATTAACCACTAAAACTCAGGCCAGTCAGGCAAGGTGGAACAGACATGTAAAGCCAGCTCCTGACAACCTGTGGCACAATGATCCCACCTTTGAGGCCATCCTGAGCCACATAGCCAGGTCCAATCTTAAACCAACTCACCCCAAATATTAAATCTCTGTATTTCCAAATCCAAACAAAATACTATAAATAAACCGAAAAGGCTGAAATAAAGTAAAAGATTTGTACTATAGAGTTATTTATTAGAATATGAAGAATGCTTATAACCATTGAGGAAAAAATCTTCCTCCCTCTCTCCCAAGGTAAAGAGGCAAAGGACACAAATGGTCACTTGACAAAAAAAAACCAAAAAACAAAAAAAACAGGAATAAACAATAATCTAGCTTTAAAAAGAAATAAAGGTCAACCTTGTCAGTAATCTAGGAATAAGAGTGAAAAGACGCCCACCCTTTCAATTGTTTTGAGCATCCTTACACTCTGCGGGGTGGGAGAATAAATTACTCTTTCTGGTGTATCATCTTAAAACCTTAAGGGGCCATGAATAAAACTTACTT